TTTGCTTAAATTCATTTCTAAGTATTATTTTTATACTATTGTGAATGGGATTATTTACTTAATTTCATTTTCAGATTGCTCTTTGCTAATGATAAAAACATAATTGACTTTTGTATATTGATTTTATATCCTGTGACCTTGTTGAAATTGAAAGTGTGGTGTATATATAGACAGTGGATTATTATTCAGGCTTAAAAAATGATGGAAATCCTGTCATTTGTGACAACATGGATGAGCCTGGAGGACATTATGCTGAGTGAAATAAGTCAGACACAGAAAAGCAAATACTGCATGATCTCAATTATAGTTGGAATCTAAAGAAAAGTCAAACTCCTAAAAGCAGAGAGTAGAATTGTGGTATTCAGAGGCTTAAGAGTAGAGGAAATGGGCAGTGTTGGTGCAAGAGTTATGCAGGAAGAATAAGTTCTGGAGATCTGTGTAATGCTGTGTGTTATGCTTGAAATCTGCTAAAAGCATAGATCTTATGTGTTCTCATCTCACACAATATTAACTATGTGAGGTGATGGATGTGTCAATTAGCAATGATGTTACAATGTATACATAAAGCACACCTTAAAATCACATGGCACACCTTAAATATATACAATTTTTATTTGTTAATTATACCTCAGTAATGCTGGAAAAACCAACCTATAGAAAATAGACTCATGGGAACAAAAAACAGATTGATGGTTGCCAGGAGCAATTGGTGGTCAAAGGGTACAGATTTTTAAAATTTCGCATTTAATTTATGTGAGTTATATCTACTATCATCTATCAATTTACCAGATTAGAAAATAAAACTGAAAAATTTTTTAATTACTTATGAATTTAAAAAATTTTAAATAAAAGCTATTTTTATTTAAAATTATAGTGGTAAACCCATTACATGGTAATATAAAATATTTTCATGAAAACAATTATTTTCCAAATAAAACATGATTTAGTGAGAAATGTACATTGTTTTACATTTTTTATAATCTTTAATACCTGGTGGACTCGAAGTTTGCTAGACTCCATATCTGCTTCTGCAATCAAACTATTACATTATGTTGTTTTATTGAAGTAAATAAAGAGAATTCAGCCTCATACAGTTTTAAAGTCCTGTAACTTTTAAAGAACTCCACAGTACACTTGTGAGATACTGAGAGTACAAAAGGCAAATAATACCTTAGTGTTATTCTTACGTTATTGATAGCTTTGACCTCACAGGTCACCTGCCCAGGTCTCAGGGATGCCAGATGGACTTCCACTCCCCACCCTGGGCCATCATGGCCTCCCCCATCACACACAGATGCCTGCCTTGCTCTGCCTATCTAATAGCTTAGGACTGAATTGTTTGGAAAGGAGCTGGAGCAGGACAGTACAGAAATCCAGAACTCTATTTATGACTACTGAGGTTGGTTATGGTATTAATTAGTTAATGCTAGTGATTTTGTATGAATGCTATGAGAAGGTAAATGGGTAAAAAATATTGGTGTTGGACATGAGGTGTTGGACACTGTCAGAAAAAGGAAAAACAAATTTGGAATGGGGAAGGTGAGGAAGAATCTTGTGTTAGTGGAACTGAATTGGTGATATCAGTATGAACAATCTGTATGAATTTTTGATGTTTAAAAAATACATTTATTCATTCACTAGATGGGCACAAAAGTCATGGCACAACAGTAACAGTGAGCTAACTGGGCACCCAGATCTTGCCTTCTAAGTTTTTTCTGGGAAGAAATGCCTGATTACCTGGTAAAGTAGGGAACAGGTAAGGCTCGAACCCCTTGTGGTGGCAGCAAGTGAAGGTGTGCTCAATGACCAATGGGGCCACCCAAGGATGTGGGAGCTGCCTGGAGGGACCCCCACTGGACTTAAACAATGTTTATTTACAGTCACTTAGCTATTTTAGATTCATACATACTGGGGGTGCCCCAAAAATGTACACAAGTGGACACTTTGGTCAACGTTGCTCAAGCAGTAGTTCGTTATAATCAAAGTGTCTGGACACTGATCGGAACCACTCTGAGCACTCTCGTAATTGCAGAAGTCAAACATGACCTGGAGTCATCTTTTGTTATTGGTATATATTGAGTATTACAATTTTTAATAGTTTTTTTTCCCTTTCTTAAAATGTGTATACGTTTTTTGGGCACCCTCTGTATTTATCAATTCCATGTACCTGTGGCTCTTGTACAGCAATAAAAGTAAAACAAATTTTCCAAATAATATTATAAGAGAGGAAAATAAAAACCAGTGGTGGAAAAGTCACAGTGACTGATGGGACATCACCATTTGCCTCAGCTGAGTGGGGATGGAAACAAAGGCTGAGAACTATCTTGTTTAACGAGATCTCTGCTCTTAGGCACGTTTCATTGAGGCCATTGGTCACAATTGCCCTGTAGGGACACTGTGGGTGCTCACTCAAATCCCTTCATACCTGCCTTCCTGCAGTGTGCCCATCACCCATCTTCTATGTGCTTTGATGCAAATGGCTGTCAGCTGTGACCTCTTCAAAGGCTTGCCATTACTCTACCAGAGCTACCTTGCCTGTCCCACACATGGAATTAGGACTACCTGGGACTTTATGTCTCTGCAGTGGGGTCCATAACCAATACTGATTAGAACTGGAGGCCCAAAAGTCCTTGGCTTGACATGAGACAAACTCTGGAGTACAATTTGTGCTCCAGAGCTCCCTGTAGGAACAGGCTGAGACTGGAACTTCGCCTGAAATCACATTCTTGCCTGGCTTTCTCCCATCTCCTCTCCCTCATTCGCTGACTGGTTTCTCCTAAGTTCACTTCCTTAACATGTCATTTGCGTTGAAACTTGGCTCAGGGTCTGTATCTGGAAGAACCTGAGTTAAGAAAGCCTAGTTCTGGGAGAACATGAGCACACATGTGCTCTTCTGAAGTCAGGCAGTCTTCACCTGTTAGCTACAGCATATTCTCTATCCATCACCCAATGTCAGCATTCCAAATGGATACAGCCCTTGGCTGGAGACACCTTCCCTAGATATAGAAAAGGGGCCAGGATATGTCAATCATGATGGATGGATAGTTCTGATAGTCCCTTGTCCCTTTCAGAGAAGTGTGAGCTCAGGAATCAGAGATAGCATGAGGGCCCATCTGCAGGCTCTCTCAATAGCCTGAGGAATTCCTGCAAGTTTTGCTCTTAAAGGCACCTGAGACACTGCCCTCTATGGGTTGGGAGGTCTCAAAACCACAGTAGAGTATTCTTGTCTCAGGAGACACTGAAACTAAAAGATAGAAGTTGCTGGCAAGCCTGAGTTGAAAAGTTGGTGTGAAGAGAGACGGGGCTCAGCCACGGTAGCACAGAGGAAGCAGTGGATACTGAAGGTGAGCTTCAGTGAGGACACAAAGGCCAGGGAGCTGAAAGAAGATACAAGCTCTCATTGACCTTGCATGTTGAGGTGGGGCTGCAGCATAGCTTTCAGGGCCCCGCAAGATGAGACAGTCAAAATAAGTTATGCAGAAAATGTGGCCATAAATGTCTGTTTTATCATTGGGAGAAATAGAGGAGGTGTCACTGGAGGGGAAAATGTGTGAATAAAAGCTCTTGTGGAGTGAGCATTTTAAGTTATTCTTCTCTCACGCCATCAAGATTTTTCTGCTAAAGAAAAAAATTCCTTTTGCTTATAAATGACCCTAAATAGTTTGTTGCAACTACTTCTTTTGCACTAGAGATACGACTTTTGGGGAGTTAGTCTCATTTAGGTATGCTTTTTATCATTACCAACAAGCTGAAAAGAGCTTGGATAAATATATATTTCCAGAGAACGATGATGAGATAAAATTACTGCAAGAAACAAAAATAATGCCCATTTTCAAGGTTCTTTCCACACCCCTTCCTAAAGTGTCTGTGTCAGGGTGAGGAAAGTGGCAGCACGTGCACGTGCCATTTCTTCTCTCCTCCTCCTTAATCAGAGTACCCTGATCTTTGAGAGAGGCTGGATCCACTGGCAAAAAGATTTATATGTCAAAATGTTTTACAGCTTTCTGGCTGCAATTGCAAATTTGCCTCTGAATGGACAAGCTGCAAACTCAGTGGTTGTACTTTGGCACATTAATCCCAATTGTCTGTGAGCCATATGTTGGCAACACAATTTAACCCCCCCCCCCAAATTCTTTGCTGGTCTGCGATTTCAGTTGAGCTGGGTGGGAGAGCGCTAAGTAGTTGAGGTTGCCAGATGAAAACTGCTCAGAAGACCCTTTGTCCATTTCGTTGGCTTATGGAAAAAGAAGGAAGGTAGAGAAAAAAAGAACGGGTGAACAATGAGTAAAAGGTCTGGGTTTCCACTTTTGCTGCAGCTTGACACTCATGAGGCACTCAACCTGAAAGGTAGTGCCTTTTTCTGAAAGGTAGACTGGAAACCGGGCACCAAGCACCCCCAGTGCTAGGATGAGGAGTTTCAATAGTGTCCAAATGGAGAGCCTATAAAAGTGTTTGGAGAGGGATGGTATTATATTATTAGGAAGATCAATGGATTGACTGTTTAGTTGATCAGATAAGTTAGAAGCAAAGAGATCCGTTGAGTCCAGGGGAGATGTGAGGAAGTGCCCAAGCTCAATATTGTGAGTGGGAGGAGGAAAAGGTGGAGGACCAGGTGCAAACTTGACTTGATGTCAAGTCAACCAGGCTTGTGGATGAGAGGTGCAGAGTGAGAACTAAGGTGGTAGGAATTGAGGATGAGCCCCACATTCAAGATCTGGGTCCTTGATGGACAGTACTACCCTCCGCTAAGGAAGAAATGCAGGAGGAGCAGGCTGGTTTGTAGGGGTTGGGACTGAGTTGCACTTTGTACATATTCAATGTGAGCTGGCGTTGGGACATCTACATGGAGACCTCCATGTAGATGTCTACAATACAAGGCAGTGGATTTAGACGTCGGAAGCTCAGGAGGGAGGTTTAGTTGTAAACAGAAGTGATGATGATGACTAATGAGTTCATCCCTCCAGATGGTTGTTCACCTGCCTCTTCTATGTCCTGTCCAGTGTTTATCAGCTGGTTGTCAAGGAGGAGAGACTTCAGAAGTCCCGGCGGGCAGCTGACATCATTGAGTGCTTTGCGGTGCCCGTGAGCTACAGGAACGCCTCCAGCCTCGATTCTCTGCACTACTTTGCTGCCGAATTGAAGCCCGCCAACCTGCCCGTCACACAGCCTTTTACAGTGGGGGACAATAAGACCTACAACGGCTACTGGAACCCTCCTCTTTCCCCTCTGAAAAGCTACAGCATCTACTTCCAGGCACTCAGCAAAGCCAACGGGGTAAGTATGGCCACACGAAGGCCATGTCTTGCCTTGTTTGTATTTTTCCCTTTCTCAAATGAGAAGGCAGCATGGCTTTAGCACAGAAGTTGACAAACTAAGGTCAGTGGACCAAATCCAGCCCCATACCTTTTCTTTCTTTCTTTCTTTATTTCTTTCTTTCTTCCTTTCTTTCTTTCTTTCTTTCTTTCTTTCTTTCTTTCTTTCTTTCTTTCTTTCTTTCTTTCCTTCTTTCTTTCTTTCTTTCTTTCCTTCTTTCTTTCTTTCTTTCTTTCTTTCTCTTTTCTTTCTTTTTTATTTCTTTTCTTTCTTTCTTTCTTTCTTTTTTTTTTTTTTGTAAATAAGGTGCTTTGTTTTTACTATGGTAATGCCTTTTCTTTCTTTTGAATATTTTTTATCCAATCCTATTTCCTCATTTCTTCAGAGGAGGGGACTAAGGCTCCGAAAGGAAATGTGGCTTAGCCAAGGAGCTCACCTAGCTAGTTTAATACAACGGGACTGGGACAGCAGCCTCCTGGCTTTCTGTCTAAAGCTCCTTCCACCATACGATGGCCTCTTAGTGCAGACCCATGCTCTGCTCCCACAGTCTGCAAGGAAACCATCTTTCACAAATCATGGGCCCCTAAGGGATTGTGCCATTTACATAGCCTAGGGCTGTTTTGATGCTGCAACAGTACAGTTAAGTAGTTGACACAGAGATTCTATGCCCCATAGAGCCTAAAATATTTATTATATGGCCCTTTACAGAAAAAGTTTGCAGACCCCTGTAAACTTTAGTGGGTGAAAAGTGTGTTCTGCTTGGGCAAATCACGTGGCCTATCCAAGTCTTGATTTCTTGTCTATACAATAATATCTATCAATTTGATATCTGTGAATGTACTAAGCACATTTTAATGGTAGTCAGTGAATACTAGCTCCTTTATCGTTACCCTTAGTCACCTTAGAAAATACTGTTCTCCCAAAGACAAGGTAACCTTTGTTTGTCATCTATTCCGTTGGTCAAGGAGGCGTGCCCATCATCACATCACAAAATCACAAGGCTGGAAAGGACCTGAAAGGTCATCTAATACCACCCTTCCTCCCTGTACATACAAAACAGAGCTTCAATCAACATTATAATAATATCACAGTTAACTGGTAGTAGTGCATATTCTTGAATACCTCTAATAACAGAGAACTCACTTCTTTATGTAGAAACTTTGTTGATCTTTTTTTAGGGGGCTGTAGCCCTAAGAAAGCTTTTTTATTGTTCTATCTTAAATACATCTTTTGTTATACTGTCTACCCATTTTTCTCAGTCCATACCCTCAGGGCCCAATAGAACCAATGCAATCCCCTTCTCAGGTGGTATTTTTTCAGTTATATAAGATCTTTTCTGTCATCTGCTTCCCCTCTACACAAACACACCCATCTGGTCTTATTTTCTGTGAGCTAAATATCTTTAGTTCCTCTTACGACAAAAGTTTATTTTTTCCATGTAGGATGCTTTTTTTTTTTTAAAGATTTTTATTGGGGAATTGGGGGGATGGGAACAGCACTGGGGAATTGGGGAAGGGGAACAGACAAGTTGCTGTCGTTTTTTTTTGTTGTTTTTTTGGGGGGTCTTCAGTCTAGTTGTGGAGGACGTTGCTTCACTGGCCCAAATTGGCACCATCATTGTCTTCTTCCTGGGCGAGGCAGATCAGTCGCCGGCTTCTGGACGGCCACTCACTGTGGCTGCTGGCTGCTGGCTACATACAGTAGCCCATGGCAACTCACTGCCACAGGGGCTGCAGCCTACGCTGTCGCCGGCGACTCATGGCAGCCCAGCTCCAGGTTGAGCTGTTGTTCAGCATCTTAGCTGTGGAGGGCAGTGTCACTGGCCCTCATATGTGGGATCCGAACCGGGGCCCTCTGGCGTCCCAAGCCAGTTCTTAACCATCGCGCCACTCGGCTGGCCCTCATGTAGGATGCTTTTATGGACATACTCCAGGTTGCCATATTTCATTCAACAGATACATAATGGACACGGATATATGCTAGGCCCCTATAGTTCACATCACGGTTATAGAGTTAGGTGCCCTCCAAGAGCTTATATAAGGGGAGTGTGGTATGTGCCGTGTTCCACAGTGTATCTGGAGAAGTGAGAAGCTCACTGGAGAAGGGAAAGCTGAGACAAAAGCAAGATGTGCAGAAGTGTGTGCAGAATAGCCTGTGCAGGCTCTGGTGGCCAAGACGGAGAGTTTAGTCTGTTAGTAGCAGCCATTACCTTGCGAGAAACCTGGTTTAAGGAACTAATTAGCATTTAAAATGTCCACAGACCCATTTAAATTCCACATTGATATTTCAGTTCTGCATGTATTATTGGTTCAAGCAACACTCCTCACAGAGAGTATAAAACTACGAAGAGAAGCTGCCCACCTGCCTTCCACCTGTCCATCTGGTCTTCCCTCTGCATGAAACACTGACGTACTGAGGAGGAAGACGAGCAATGGGAAGAAACAGCTAGGGACCCATCTTGTTCTTCAGTCTCTGCATCCCATACTGGCCAGCTTATAGGTTCAGCACAACTCTGAGAAGGTGTGGCTTTCCCTCCTCTTGGCAACATATCAAGGGATGCTGTTGGGTTTCCATGCTGTGAATAGGAGTAATATGTGTAGGTCCACTCAGTTTGCACTGCATCACATTCCTCCTAAAATGCTCATAGACACCCAGCAAGAGATCGAGGCTATAGAACCAAAGAAAACTGATGGATAGACTCCAGGAGGACCATTCTTGGCCCTGAGCAGACAAGCAGGTGAGGCAGGAGGGCTGCCAGAGGTTTTGCTCCTCAAACCTCACACAACAGACCACACCCATCCCCCTTCTCATGACATGGGGTTTTGCCATTGAGAATAAGATCACCATCCTCCAAGGCTATCACATCTAGGAAACAGTTTCTACGACTGCTTCCAAGATGAGCAAGGCCATTACTTACTTATGCCTTTGATTCTACACCATGTGTACTCCCATGTTGGAACTAAGATTTGCAGTCATGAAACACAACCAGGACTGGAATTGGATGGGTGCTCAGGCCAGGTGACCTGAGGTTATAGAGTTGGCCTCACAGGAACACAGGAAAAGCTGTGGAACCTGGGCGCTCTGAGTGTTGTAGTCTTCTAGCAAGAGAAATAGTACACACTGCTTCAAAATACTGTATTTAGTATTAAGTTTTACTGAAAAGAAAGAGTTGGGTGAAAGGGTCTTAGGAGCACAAAAGCTATTCCCAGTCTAACAAATCTCTACCTGGCCCATCTCAGATTTCTCTACATCAAAAAGGGCAGCACACAGTGCAGTTAAGCCTGGAGGATTTCTGAGGAGAAAATGTTATAACCCACAAATTCCTTGTCAGCCAAGTTGTTGTTCTTGTGCAAACACATCAGAAAGATGTTCTCCATATCCAGGGGCTCCCACATGCCCTGCTTCTAATAAATCCTTCAAAGAGCAATTGGCCAAGCAATGAATCAAAATAAAGAAATCAAGAATAGAGAAATATGGAATAAAATGACCCATAGTGAGCATGGAAATTAATTAAACATAGTGTGAATGCTAAATAATTGCTCTAAATATGTAACAAAATAGAAGGTTAATATGAAAACTAATTACTTCAAGAGAAGATATATAATGTAAAAATTAACAATTGAGACCTGGGTCTATAATTCCTTATTATGTCAACAAAAACAGAGAGAGATGGATTGATGGGTGTAAATAAAAACCCACTAAGTTTTTCATTTTAGACAGGATGGAATAAATAATGCTATTTTATTTTTGATACTGAGAATTTTTTAAAAGTATAGTTTTTAAACACAAAGGCAGCCTTCCAAACTATCATTAAAAATCCAGGAAACAACAATCTACAAAGCAAAGTGGAAGAAACAAAGGAAACTAAGTAAATATAAAAATCAGCAACTATAACACAATCCAAAAGCACTAAATTTTATTTTTTTAAGTGGTGCTTTGCTCCTTTCATAAAAGGGGGAATATATATCTTGGGTCAAGTAAAAATCAGAATTCAGCAAACCCATGTCACTAGAAGATTAAAAGCAAAGGATGAAACAAGGTTATGTTAAACTAAGACAAGTTAAAAGAAAGCATCATGGCCATTTCTTGCAGTATTAGTTGTGGTCCAGATTGAATAATTGACTATCAGTCAATTTCATTGCCCCCAACCCTACCTGCAAATTTCAATCAGAGCTGAGGGTAAGAGAATTTTAGGGTCCAGATATTATTCTATGGATATTAAGGATGATTAATTAAGTAAGCATCTAGTAAGCACATACTATATGTAAAAAAAAAGAAAGAAAGAAAGGTACTTCTGAGTGCTGGGAATAAAACAGTAAGCCAAACAGACAAAAAAAAATGCCTTCTTCATAGTGTTTACATTCTAGTAGGGGAGCAGCCAAAAATAAACATAAATTATGTAAAATCATATGTTAAAAACCTAATCACTGGATTTAAGAATGTGTGGAGATCACTCATTAAATGTTGACTGTTATTAGGATGAGCATAAAGGCATTTTGTACACTGAGGCATTTTGAAAACTCTATAGCAATTTACCATATTTGCTGGCGTATAAGACGATTTTTTGGCCCTGAAAAATATGCCTCCAAGTGGGGGGTCGTCTTATACGCCAGGTACACTTCAGATAGACTGCCCATAGTGCTTGCCCCGTGCCATAGTGGCCTCCCGATGCCCGCCCACTTCATTCCACATACCGTTCAGGCATCAGCAGCGCTGCTGGGTGTATGGTCGGCTGTGTGCGATTTTGCGAGTGCGGTAAATTCGGGTTACCATATATTTCTTTACATATGCATTGAAGATTCGCGATTTTGCGCTATCATGGTGCCTGTTAGAATGTTGAAGAGCTCGCACTTGCGCACTAGTGAGGTCCCAGGGAGATGCTGATGCAAGGGTGGACCAGACTGCTATAGTGACAGGGCGGGCAAACAGGGAGCAGGGACCAATCAAATCAGGCTTTGTAT